ATGGCTGGGTGTCGCAAACAGTGGCGCTCGTGCATCCACTCGTTATTTTCCTAATACACTCTATATGTATTCCCCATCTTCCGCTTGAATTTGCCTCGACATTCCAATCTTCATTTCGCTATTTTATCCAAATGGGCAACCAAAACCGGCGCACGAAAGTGCATGGTTAATGGTTGTAAAACTGAAACTGAAACTGATTGCTTTGCACGGTTTCATCGTTGCTCAGTCATTGTAATGCGTGTCTTCAGATATGCGTAGAACATTGTCACACGCTCATTTCCTCCTCCTCTTGCTGTCGATTTTGCCGGGGGTGTTTGGATGGAGAGAGATGAAACTCGTGTATGTTTGTGTGTGTGCCTGTCGTGGACCAAATAGCACCCACACATGCCTTGCTATCCGAGTCAGTATGCCATAATCTCACTTCTAACTAGGCTGCTCCAATGTGGTGCACTGATGATCTTGGCTAATTCCATCGTAAGAATTAACCGGATTTGTCTAATTTGAGCAAAGCGAAAATTGAGCAAGTAATTTGCAGGTCATAACAAAACGGAAAGGAGCTACTCGATCACAGTTCCATGTGTTTCAGCTTCATTAATTGTGCAGATTCTTGCTGCCGTTTTGATTGCTATCTTTCTACTATCCATCTAGTCAAACGGGGGCGGAGAAATAAACAGAAATGAGAACCGGAAGCTTTGTCCAGATAAAGATAGGGAACTCAGGTTGACCAATTATGTAAAGTAATTGAGTAGGTATAAGAGTGCCAATGCTTACTATGCTCAGACACTCTATGCTGACCATCGATTAAACTAATCGAATACAGGGAAGCCTAGCAGAACCTCTACAAGCAAGTACCGTGTTAGGGCTTTTCATATCCTTTGCCAAGTCTATGTTTGACCACCTTGCTTGGTTTTTCTCCACTGATTAACTGTCTCGGCAAGCGTCGCACGCACACGTGTAATACATGCACCAGCTCTAAGGAGAGCAACCGCGATTGTCTTAAACTCTCCTCCTACCTTCGACATCGTTTATCCACTTACTTTGCCACACTTGATCAATACGGCGTAGACATTGGTGTTCGAATATGGATAATGTCTTTATCCTGGTCCCGTAACCGCCCGATCTTTCCACTGGTCGAACTGCTGCAACATACTTCGCAAACTGCTGAATGTCACGACGGTACCACACAGTTGGTAAACGCCAATCAAACCTTCTTTGTTCATGCATAAAATTCATCCGCGGTGTCTCCGTGAGGTAAAAAGTAGCGGTCCAAATAGTGAAATTTGTGCTTTGTCTCTACTGCTTCTCCAGTCGGAGTGAGGTTAGTAGCTGGAACTGTCCCTGGTGGACGTTTCAGCACACATTAGAAGGGAGACAGCGTTTCCCGTGATGTGGCAAACCAACATTTGGATTACCCCTGACACAAACATACACGAACTGATGCTTTCTCAAAATGTTCATGATGTAAAACACCATCTATCAGCTTTTTATCTTGAATTTGAAAATGGAGAAGCCAGTACAGAGTCTGTTTTCAAATAAATCACGGGACTAGCCTGTTTCACTATCTTGATTATGTGCCCACTGCGTCAAACTATGTGCTGTCGTAACTTGGAGGTTGATGATAAAATAAATCACATCTGTAACAATATGGATTCAAATCAGCATCTTCAACTCAATATGATGTACGTCGGTTGTCTTGGGTTCTAGGTTCGATCGCGTCCGTTCAGGTGCTCTCCGAGTATTACTGAGATAGAGTTTACTTGCAAATTTGATTTCCTCAGTGGCTTACACGTGTTATACGAAATCACTCTTTGGCGCCGTGTTCGGATCCGATGGAGATCCATATGCTCATTTCAAATAAATAATATCATCGATACATTTTGTCCGGTCACCACTGTCTGTCTGTTCCACTGTCTGTCATGTTCTCCCTCTTCGTTGCCTCCCTCACCTCCTCCTCGTCCCATGCATTCGCACCGTTCTCCACTGTTCAGCACGGACCAACTTACGTGCATTGTGCTCGTTGTCGTCGCTGTCGGCCCGCGAACCGTATCCACTGTGTCGAATGTGCTTGTTGTGTCGTTCCTCAGCAATGTCCCCATCAACCCGGTGCCCGGAAATCCCCGCGCAAGAAGGCTAAACGACGCCGGAGTGAATAACAGACCATCTCACCGGCTCTGTTCTCTGTATCTCGTTCGCATTGTACA